TTGAAATGCCATTCGTGACAATATTTTCCTTTTTAAACTCATAAAATATAGAAATAAAACATTTTAGTTACGCGTACATTTAAAAGTTGGCAAAGACAAATCGTATTACCGACGGTTCTGCCAACGGATGGTACACGTCCATCGATATAAACATAATTCGTACAATTATTCTTTAAATTAAATTCTTACAATATTATTAAAAAATATCATGTGAAATAATGTATTAATTGAACAATTTGAACTTCAAGTAATGTTCCGCATTATTTCTTATTATCCTTTCTCACCCTCAAATTAGTAAAATATCAAAATCAGCAAAATAGTATTATAATATAGCAAAGTAAAATGTATTTAGTGACATTATAAGGGTTGTTTACCAAAATCAATTATTATTTTCAAGCGTTATTTTGGAGTGCATAAATTCCGTGGAATGGAAACCCATTAGCCAATCCATTAATTATTCCATACGATTAATTATTCTATCGCAACACGGCGACGGTTTAAAGAAGCAAGAGATTATTCCTGGACGGCGACGCGGGAACGGTTTTGCTCGAGGAATTTCAAGTTAGTCGAGATTTAAAGTGGACTTTAACGTGTAGTTCGCGACACAAATTATCTCGAAGTCAGCTTTAAAACTAAAGCTCCTTTAAATTTTTTGTAAGCCGCTTTCCGCGATGCTGAGTCCCGTAAATGAGATTCACGATTGAGGCAGTAAATTGAAGCGGCGTTTCTGCAGAAAAGCAGCAACATTTCCAGAGAGATATCCGGTTCGCGGAACATTTCGAGAAAAGTGGCAAATACTTGATGACATTTCCAAGAAATAAATTTTATATCATGCTATTTACACATGTGTGGTAAAGTATAAAAATGTTGAAGCACTACGGTAACACCCAAAGACAAGGGTCACTAACGAAACTATTCATTTCCTAGACGGCACAAAAATATTTGGTCTGCCTCTGTTTGTCAGTTTGTCGAATTTTTCAAATTTTGTGATATCGTTTGTTCAAATCTCGGTTTTCGATAAATTCACGCCGATGGTATCTGAGAACATTGAAACGATTGTGTGTAACCAAAATCGATTCTAGTTTAACAACACTGATCTCAACCACTCGCGTTTTGTCGCTACACAAAGTTTTCTGAATAAACATCCGCAAGTAAATAAACAACGTCTAAATAAATCGTGTATAAACCTATATTAATACGACGATGTGGTAGTGATCGCGATCCGTTCGAGTGTGCAAATAAATAAATAAAGCGGACAGATAGTAGGTAAACGTTCGGAGAACGAGACGTTGAAATCGATTGTATGCTGATATCGAGATGAGAGAAGAACGGAAATAGGTCGCGGGACATCGTCGCAATAAATACAGTGGAAAAAAATATGGCAGAAAGGATGCCATTTTACAAGAATAATGTAATATTGTGCATCTAGCAGTATTGCTGATGGGGTTCGAGAATCGCTCATTCAGATAAATAAACAGACATTTAATTAAATTCATGAATATCGCCTTTGGGTTACGACGTGGGTATTGATTTTAATTTGATGTTACATAATAATGGCAGAGAAACAAGGATTCTATTCAGCATTTAAATAAATTCTCATAAGATTAAAATATTTGAGATGAGACACATGTCTTATTAATATGTACTGTTACATTTTAAAAATATTACAGAAGATCAAATCATACTTTCTTTTTTAAAACATACAGAGTTATTTTCTGTAACTTCATCATATTTTCCATAACATAATAATTAGTAGTTCAACATAATAATTAGTAGTTCAAAAAAACAAAAATTCAATCAATATGGAAAATATTGACCTTGAGATGATAAGATAAAAAATTATATTATATTTTAATGTCAACATATTCTAACATATGATAAATTAATTTTTTTATAAACTACATTTATTAACCTAAATATCCCATTTAAAGAAATGTTGTCTATCATAATATTTATTCCTTTGAAACAAATAATTTGTTCTTTTGGTATTTTCATATTATTAAAAATAACAGAGATATTCAACATAATTGAATTACAAGAAATATTCTGTATTCCAGAGGAAATTCTTTTTTAGAAAACCAGAATTCGAACAATTTGACGAAAATGAATATATTCGATGATATAAACCAATAATATATTAATATCTCTAACAGGATCTAATCTATATTACCGTCCTATTAATTTCAGTCCGTTATTGACAAATGCTCTGTCGAGATATTTGCTCACTCGATTATTTACCAACTCGGCAATTCGCCATGAAAACCGAAACCAATCGTGATTAGTGCGTGCAGCATGGCCGCAATGATTGCGAAAGGACGTTACGTGGAATTAATAAACGTTCAATCGATGTATTTGTTTAAACGCCGGTTTATTCATCCGTGCAAAATCTCATTATCCACATTCCAATAGAATTCTTGTACGTATTAACATTATCGATATACATAAATGTAACCATCACTCTTTCACAAAAAAACTGGACTTTGTGACTGTTTACAACTGTTTCGAATTACATATGCAATTAAGTATGCAATATTTTCAGATAAAACTAGTAACTATTTCCAAGCCATAATTTCCAAGAGGAAAATTTTATTTTATCAATTTTCCTATTTATGAAAATATAGATTTTTCTATAATCTAGAAAATTATGAAAAAAAAATTCTGATTACACAAACATTGAAATTAAAAACAAATCTCAATTTTTTTGTTCTTTTTTTCATTCCGTTTGACACAAATTTGACACAAATTTTGCAATATAAAATAATAATTGAAAGAAAATGTCGATGTGAGAGGAAAATAGAACTGTTGTACAAAATATATTGTCGTTTATAAATGCGACATAATTTTTTTAATTTTAACGATACATCCAATGTCATTAACTCGTTATACGCAAAAATTCCATAACGGTCCGCAAATACTTCTGATCGGATGATATACGCTATATATGAAGTTGATGGGTCACTGATTATTTCACTGATCCATACACTAGATCCTTTCAACGTCCATTCAACGACTCAGAGACCAACGCAGCGAATAATTAGATGTGCCCGTTGAAAGCTCGGATCACGTTTATACACACGGTTAAACGACACATTTGTGATTAGTATCGGTATAATGTTGCATCGATACATTCCAAAACAAATCTCGTCACAGAGACGAGAACGATTTCGTGAGCCGTGCACGTAACAAGCGTCACAATGACATCACGCGAACAGTCGGCCGGATGTATAATAGTCTTAATTAAAATGGCGGTCTAACGAACATAGCTAACTGCTGTAATCCACGTGCCTCATTGATAATCCTCCGACTGTACTATCGAATGTGGGGACAGAGTCTGCATACTCTGATAGGCATCTATCGTGATATGTGCATCGTCCGATATCATGTTTTTTGTATATATTGAAATTACACAAAATAATCAAAATTAAATACAAGAATTAACAACAAGTCAATTATTCTAGTATAATAAAATTGTATATAAATTTTAATGAAAGTCTGTTTCGTAATCAAATTCTTTTCAATAGAAACAAAATCGAGTATTGTATTTTTCACAGTTTCAGATATTTAATATTAAACGTTATATTATACGTAAATTTTCAAAATTTGTTTAACTGAAAAAACTATTTATATTTTAATATTTCCGTATATTATGAAAAATGTTTAAATAAAGTTTAAATTAAAATATCTAAAAGTAAATTTTACATTTGTAGGGTACTATGCTATGTAAATGTAAATATAAGCATGCCCAGCGCAAATCAAAATACTAACATTGTGCACAAATAATATTTATTATAATAATATTAAAATAAATTTCCAGAAAATTTTCATCATTAATTAAGATCATTTTCAAGTAACTTGTTTTTAGCCATTAATATAGAAAATAAATTACACTTTAGCTGCTCGTTAATTTTATTTACATTTACGCTAATTTTAAATTAACGAGTGGCAAATTTCTTAAAAGCAGAAAGTATTTATTAAAAGCAGAAAGTACAAGTAAAGGCACGTTTATTAAAAGCACAGCGAAATGATAATAACCGGTTAAATCAAAGTTTATAAATATATTATTAATACAAATATAAAAGTTAATTATGATTACGCATCTTTCATATGTATTCTATCTTTCATATGTATTCACTTTTTTCTGTATCAGAATACAATAAACTAATAAAATGAGAGAAATATCTCTCTGGTGGCAATTTTCGATTTCACTTTGCAGACAGAATTCTTGGTCCATGTACGATAAAATGCCGGAAGTTTTGTACTTATGATTGTTGCATCATATGCTCCATCAGGAGATGCTCGTCACTGCAGAGCCACTTTCTCGCACGCGATGCTGGTGAATTTTTTACGCTTAATTTCCCGACAACCTGTACGATGGCAGTCTCACGCCATACGCCGGCGTGAAATCGACGAGACGTACGTGCTACAACGTGACGCGGTCGTAGTGCTCGTTGGCGACGCGATACGTAGCTCGTTTCGCTCGTAAGCACGTTCCCGCTTTCTCGACCGTACAGTCGATACAGGATCCGTGCGATACGTGAATCGCCCTGTTAATGATGCCGATGGCGGATTGTTACTTGCGACTTTAGTTTCGTAAGTAAAGGCTAACGTCTACCAAAACCAAGTACATACTAAAAGTAGATGTTGAGACGAATATTAAGATATTCCAAATAAAGCCAAGGCTAAAATTGCTAAAAACATCACAATAAATGTCATGTTATTGCGCCAAATAATTTCATTTCTCGACATATCACGCTTAAAATTATCTCTCGATTATCTATTTTTATTTTTATTCGTCGCATTATGACACTTTTGTCGCACAGAATATAGATTCATTTATTATCCATATATTGTATTATTCACATTTCATCTTGCTTTATTTTAAACGAGAAAGATATCAAAAAAGATAATTCAACTTTTCTCATTTGTTATAAAATCATCAAAAAGTTTTAAAAATATATAAGGCTGCTTGCTCAAAATTGTAAATGTTATACAAGACTTACCGTGTTGCGATAAGGGGACAGGTAATGCTCGGCGAAGCCCAAGCTTCTGGACTCCAAGGTGCACACTCGTATAATCTAAGTTCCCGGCCTGAAACAGCACCAAAGACACTGCGCCATCCCCCTGTGCATCCAGCAGCAAGACCGAATCCGCTCCCGGCTCCTCGTGAAGTGCTTGCACTACTTCCGGCTCCGTCTTCGCTGCTTTCACTACTAGCTCGTCCGTTCTGTAAGTACATGCAACAACACATTTATACTATCCACAATATAAACATTCAATTTTTAATTGTTAACAAATTTTAAATTCCAAGAAAAATAATCGTATCGTATAGTTTTTAGATTTTATAAGCAAAAAAATATTTAAATAGTTTAGAATTTGAGATATTGGAAAGTTCAACAAATTAAAATTCTTCAAGATTTAAAAATTTGGAAATTAAATGCAATTGTAAGAAGACAGACAATTGAATAAAAAAGTAGATATATATATATATATATATATAAAACGCTATTAATTATTCTGTGTAGAAAAATTATTAATTAATAAAAATACTTTGACAATTGATAAGTTAGAAAGAAATATTGAAAAGTGAGACTCAGAAATCAATACAATAGAAAAGATAATGCCGTAGTCGAGTTTTTCGTTTCTATCCACAGCATGACGTCAAGAAACGAGACATTCGCTGCAATTACGTTATTGTACAATTGACATTTGTCTAGTACGTGACATATATAAAAAGAGTATAATATTCTTCTCCTTTAGATGGCACTGGAGTAAATAAAAAAGAAAAAAAAAGAAATTTAAAATTTTCACTTATTGTTATTCATACATCCTGATAATAATGTAGAATGTAGATAAAGAAAAATGACTTCTACATGACGTTTTACAACGTAAATTACAACAAAAATTATTGCAATACAAATATTGCATTAAAATCTTATAATATATCGTAACATCTTAACACTAGTTTTTTTCTAACAAGCTAGTCTACATATTTTCCAAGTTTCATTGAAATCAAAACTTTCCAGTTTGTTCTCCTGTTAGTAGAATCGCAATCGTGTTGAAGTCGTAGAGGAGCAACCTAAGAAGAGCACATTAATCTTAAACGACTTCCTGCCTCTTTCTCTTGGTGAAGGAAGGATCAAACTTCGTCCTCGGCCTCCTTAAAGCTCCGGAAAAGTTCGCGTAAGTAGCGGCATAAGGAGATACATCCCACGTACAAGGAGAGACCGGAAGGACTTCTGACGAAGTCGCTCTCAACCGACGAACGACATTCGATCAGAAAGTTTATCCGGCAGATTAAAAAACTCTACCGTGGCCACCGTTGAACTAGTTCAACGTGTACTTTATATGGAAAATAATATTGTGTACAAAGTACAATTGTTGTTCTTATCGAGAACAACAACAAATTCTTAATATTTAAGCAATTAAAAACAAAAGATTTTGTAACTAAACAAAATAGATTGTAAATGTTATATAGTCTCGAGAATTCCAATATTCGAAAACTTATAAATTAAATAAAGTCTAAGAAATCGAAAAGAATTCCGAAAATTTTAAAGGGTCTGAAAATGCAAAACATTAAAGTTTAAAGAATTCAATGTCCCAGAATCTTGGAATCGGAGAATCATTGCTTGTTCCTTTTTCCTTCGATCCGTTTCACTGCTCCGCAGACATCACAATCGTCGTTGGCGTCTTATCGGTGTGCGCCGCGACGCCGATTTTCTTCCGTGTCGCGGCAACCGTGAAATCGAGCGAAAAGAGCGGAGAAGGGAGACGTCGCGCAATCTACGACGAGGGTACCAATGTGGAATCAGGCGAAAAGAGAGAAATATTAAACGGCCGAGAGCGAATACCTAACGCTGTGGGAGAAGGGAAAGGTCGATCGACTAGGTTGGAAAAGTTCGGAAGGCGCGAACGAGTCGAGAGAAGAGTTATCAAGCGGGAAGAAATGGCGTCACTGTGCGTCCTTACTTGTTCCGTTTCTACAAAAACGCTCCGGAAATTTGCGTCGTCGATAATTTCGTTAGAGATAATAAAGGAAAACGCCCCTGAGAAATTATTATTGGCAAGCAGAGACGGACGTCTTTTGTTTTCGAATAAAGACAGATATTAAATTACGTATATTTGACTCTTTAGATATTCCGATTTCATAATTCCTTAATTTTCATTTCTTTAAACTTTAAAAATGTCGCATATTTGCAACATGGTAAATAGATTCTATTGTTATCTTTATATGTGCCGGTGAATATGCATTTCTAAAGAGGAATGCATTAAAATCAGAATTTAATTTTTAAAAGAACACTATATTAAGTTATTAATATTATGGATTTGTGATTTCGTAGTTATAACTTTATGGACTTTACCTATGTAAAATAAAACAACAGCATAATCAAACTTTGAAAGCGGACAAAAAAGCGTGGCCAAAGGGAACAAATCAAAGGCAGGATGCTTCGTGCATGGTATAAATCGAACGACTTTGATTTGCGTCTGGTTGGGCTCCTAAAAGAAGCGATAACGCGTGATGTACGAGTTTTTGCATCCTCTCTGTGTTTTCGCATGCAGATATCTCGTTAGAAGAGAGAGAGAAAGCGAAGAGGGGGGGAAAAAGAGAGATACGATTTCCATTCGTATCTTCCCACGTTCTTCCCTTCCACATTGGGAAACGTACGCGCGACATCTGGCCTATATCGTATATTCTCATCTAGAATTTCTTTTTTTTTTATTGAATTTCTTTCTTAGTTTCTTTTAATTGCTATATTTTTCATTTGAACAACTGTCTCTCGGTTTATCGTAATATTGTTTTCCCCGCAAACGATACAGCTAGAGTAATTTCTACCTAACTCTTTGTATTCAATATTCGCGGAGCCAACCACCGAGCGCCATACTTCTGTTTACGAGCCGCCATAATATAAGTGTAATCGCAGCGATATTTTCGCGAACATTAATCCCAACTGTACATTCATCGGGAAGCCAAGGATTAAAACAAGATTAAACATAGAATATCTCTATCCACTCGCAGCTGTACCGAGAGAGCTCGGCATGAGATGGAAGAGATCTCACGATCGCGTCCTAAATCATCTCGGCTAATTTCACCTAATCTTTATGCCGGTAGTAAAATAATAATTCCCAAGCAAGCGCAGGCGTAAGAGGCAAATTAATAACAAAGTGTAAACATGCTCGGGACGGAGAAAGATGGCATTTTACATAAAAAATGTCCTACGCGCACACGCCCACACATAGTTGTGTTTTGATCGATATAACAATAAGGGATAATGAGAAAAATCTTAATCAACTTTGTTTGCTTTTAACTGAGAAATCTTCGTTCATGTTGTTTCAGCGAGAATTCGTAATAGCAGGCTATAATCGTTATGATAATCCTAAGAAAGAGACAAAAATCCTATAATACTAAAATGAGATTAAGGACGAAACCTCTGAATGCTACTACTGCGAGCATTATTTGAATGTACGTAACATATTAAACCCGTTAAATAGTGTGCATGCCTGCAATGATATGCTTTTGCAATGCAACGTGGATTTGATCCCAGTAATATATCGTTGTTAGAATTTCAGAAGCATAACATTGCGGTTTTAACTATAGGACAAGCACAGTTGTATTTTCGTGTATTCTATAGAAATCCTAATTGCCAATTCTGCAAACAAGTTAATCTTTTATTATTAGGTTTACCTAATTCCTTATCTTGTAATTTGATCCTTTAGGTATAAATTAACTAGAGAGACTTTATGATTTTGATTCTCCCATATTTTTGTAAAATCAGCTTTCCTTCTTTAATAAAATTTAAGTATCAAAATAATTTGATTATTTACAATATATCTGCAAGTCATAAAGATTTCGTTAGAAATTTTATGAAATTCCTTATAATTATTTTTTTAAAACATTATATCTAGAAAAAGATTATTCTTTTATTCATCTAATTCAAAAATTGTAAATATAATTTATATGTATCTAACCATAAGTATTTCAATTGCGCTACAGCTTCACTAAAAATAAATATAAAAAATATGTTTATATTATTATTCAATAATGTACAGTATTGCAATAGAAAGTATTCGCAATGACATTTTTCTCTTCGTTTCTATCCGATGCGACGAGAAACGCGAAAAAAGAAATACAGCCTATTCCAAAGCAGGGAAAATAATGGAGTCGTAAACATGCTTAAATGAGACAGACAACAAAACTCAAGCGTGTTGTGTTCAAACTCAAATTGTGCGCGAACTGCGAGTGGAGGAAGGCAGCTGAGAAGCGGAGGAATGGCGAAGTGTTACGGTTGTCGGAGTGGCGCATTCGTAAATGTTGCGATTCTCTAAAATCGGCTTAAAATGTGTTACCGGGATGACTACGATTTTCTTCTGAAACGTCGCTGTTGTACAAATTGCATTTACGCAGAGAAACCTTCATTAAAATTTTTCAACTTCAAAACTTCGCATTAAGTACAGAATTTATATTTTATTTATTCGTGAAAAAATTGTAAATTCTTCTCAAGATTAAGTAAAACATATTTGATAAGCAACTCTGTTACCTTTATAATTTATAACAAAAAGATTTATTATTAATGTCAAAATTAATTCATTGTCGTCTCGTCTTTTTTTTTTTTCCTTTCATAAGATATTATCACGCTCCTAAAAACGCGTATATGCGAGAATTTTATGAAAATGGTATATATAATGGTATATAGTAAATAAAATCAAAACATGAGGAATAAAACGAATGTGCTTGCAGTTTTACCAAGCTATAACTGCGAAGAACATTGGCTTTTACTCTACGTATTGCTCGTAGTTGTAATCATTATCCCGCTATGATGCGATCATCCTGTATATCCGCCGTTACATCCTTGTGACGTCGACCCTAATGGAAAGCACATTAGGAGGTATATCTCTCACCTCGTACGAGGAGGGCGTAAATGTGAGGGCGGGAGGAGCCAGTGTTAGCTAGCTCGGCAACGCTTCCGCGCAAGCGAGTGGAAACGTTACGATATCGTTCTTAAAGTCGCCTGTCCGCGTATTTACGGTTCCACTGGAATAGACCAAAGATATCCTTAAAGGGGAACTTACGACTGAGAAAATAGAAAACGAGTAGTTTCATTTGTGTCCAGCGCAAAATTATTGCTAGGAGAGAGACGCAATATTCACTTATTAACTTCTTGTGGTCAATTTACCTCACCTTTAATTGAAATCTCAGCGTAATGAAGAAGCTTAAATTAAAACTTATTT